ATTCAAATTTTTGTCATGAGCGTATATAAAGCCTGCAAAATGCGGTTAATAATATTGTAATTATTTTTATCAGTTTAATTTCTGATGCGATTTCCGTACCAGGAAATTCAGATATTGAACTGATTTTTAGAAAATCGGACAGATAAATGTCCGATTTTCACTTATTCGGACAATTTCTGTCCGAATCAGTGAAAATCGTTCGTTATTATCTGCTTAAAATATAAAACAGAAATTAACTTCCATATAAATAAAATCTTTAATTTTATAAATTAAATTATTTAAATTTATTTATAATATATATCACATTAATATATGTTATTATATATTATTACTGTAATTGATTTTAGTTTTGCCGTCAAACAAACATCAGAAAATGACGTCTCGTGGATGCGACATATCGACATCATTTTCGGGTCTCATGACACCTAACTTAGGATGTCTCAGTGGTCATTTTGTGACCAAAATTTACCGTCATTATGACGTCAGTTTGCTACTTGGGATATGTTTCAGAAATATTTCAGTAATATTACCGAAATATTGCTGAAATTTTTTAGCAAGATTGCATTTGAAATGATTGCGAACATTGAAACATTGCAGAAATGTTGCAGAAACAGTCGTGAAATATTTCTGTAATATTGTTGAAAGGTGTAATATTTCAAATGGAATATTGCAGCAATGTATCAGAAATATTACATGCCGAGTGGGAAAGTAAGGTTTTATGTAAGGTTAGTGTATAGTATAGTATGTACATATATTTGTATGTACATATGTATATATATTGTAAAATGGAAGTTACATTAAGGGCACCCGTTACCAAACATGCGGTTAGAACACCCGTTAAGTATAAGATCCGTTCGAGTTCGAGATATGTCGGGCCGACAAGAGCGAATAAGGTCACGCCACGAGGCATATCGATAGATATCGAACTAAGAAGGAGACGAGAAGTCGAGTATAAAACCGCGTAGCTCAGCGACCACGAAGAGAGAAATCTTTGAGAATCTTACAGTAGTGATCGAGATAGTTAAACGCGATTAGCAAACTCCGATCGGTTCAGACTGTATTCTCTTACCAATAAATAAAGTATATCTATTAAACTTACAACTAATATCAGAAGTGGGATTCACCGCACTCACAAAGAGGAGCAGAATGGATCGCGCCGGTCTCGAGAATTTGACCTACGATCAGCTGAGAGAAGAAACTCTACGTTATAGACTGCCCCTCGTAAGTGACCGCGACAAATTAATTGATCAGCTCATGTCCCATTTTGAGCGCAATAGCCCAGCAGTGGATTTACTCACGCTGGGGCAACCTCAGGGAACAAAACAAGCCGATCAACCGTCTGGGTCACGAGAGGAGCGGCCAGGGTCAGCAACAAATATGCTGGCGGCAACGATTTCCTCCCAATTGCAGAGCATGCAACAGGCGATGTTGCAACAGCAACAGCAGGAGCTGCTTCGCCACATGTTGCAAGCCTTCGCAAGGAACCAGCCGCAAACTTCGTCGTAGGAAGCAATCCCGCCTTCCAGAGAAGCACCATCTCCGACGAGTCAAGATACATCATATCATTCCATTCCGCCGAACACTGCCGCCCCATCGCCATCAAATCCGGGTTCACCACATCAATCGTCGATCGGAGCCGCACCGTCGACTCAAGCCGTCTCCATGTTGGCCTCTCAAATACCGGAATTCGGAGGCGGAGAGGATGAGAACGTGGAACTGTGGATTAAGCGCATAGAGCAGGTATCACGTATCCATAGAACACAGGAGGACATCACGTTCCTCGCGGCATCCAGCAGGTTAGTGAAAGCGGCACGTAAATGGTTCGATTTGGGCTCAGGCTCAATGATTGAGTCCTGGACCGGCTTTAGGGAAGCCATTCTAAAGAGATTCTTGAGAAAAATTCTATACCATCTGGCCATGCAAAAGGTTGAGGCGCGCAGATGGAATTATACTAAGGAATCGTTCCTGGAATACTCAATGGATAAACTAGCATTAATCCATAATCTAAATTTGTCTCAGGACAGCACCATCCACCTATTAATTAGTGGGATCGGTAGCAGATCCTTAAGAGAAATAGCAGCCTCATTAAAAGTCGATTCGGTCGATCTTTTCCTGGAGTCGATGTATCGAATTACTTCGGTTTCTGGGGAGACTGATAGCAAATTGTTACAGACTAACAAGAATTCCAAATCAAAGGAGCTAGCCGGCAATTGTGGATCCTGCGGAAAATCAGGGCACCTGCAAAAGAATTGCAAAAACAGCAGCTTCTTCTGCGCCTACTGCAAAACACCGGGTCACCTTCGTGCGGACTGTTTCAAACTAAAGAGGGAGGAACAAGCGGCCACGTCAGCACAAACAGCACCGGTAGCAGCAGTATCAGCAACAGGAGTCATCCCGAAGGACGAGGAGACAGTTGCTGTTGTTCAGTTCGACAACGGCAGGAATCTCACAATACCCGACGCGCTTGCTAAGATAACAAGGTTAAATATGAAAGACTGTTTATTATTCGCGCTTGTCGACACAGACAGTCCGATTTCTTTTATAAAATCAAATGTACACAAGAAATTTTTGGATTATTCGGTCGAATTTCAAAGCCCTTCAGGTTTCTCAAAAGGTTCTTAAAGCCTTAAATAATAAACCGATTGAAGTTTTGGGATCAATAAAAACTACGTTAACATTAGAGCAATTACCTTATTTGCAGCTAGCAATAACGTTACATGTTTTACGGGAAGAAAGTGTAGCAGCGGATTTAATTATTGGTCGTGATTTCTTAAATGATCAAAAAATAACCGCGATTTTTAATCCGAGTTCGTTGAAAACAAAAGAGAATGCTCAGGATTTCCCTGTATCGCTTTTGCAATTATTAGCATGCCAAGTTACTAACTCCTTAGAGGATAGGATAGAAGATATCGTAATTGACTTTGACTTATCGGCAAAAAAAAGCTTAAAAGATTTAATATTGGACGTTAATAGCTCAACGGCAGTCGCCGTAAATGACAATTTTTCAATAAAAGTCACGCTGAGAGACGATTCTGTTTACGCGTATGCCCCGCGCCGTTTCGCATGGGCAGAGAAAAACCAAATACGCGAGATAGTTGACGATCTGTTAGCTCGCGGTATTATCAAAAAAAGCATTTCACCTTACTGCGCGAGAATAGTCCCAGTTAAAAGGAAAAATGGATCTTTACGACTGTGTGTTGATTTACGTCCGTTAAATTCGAGAGTTTCGAAACAAAAATACCCATTCCCGCTAATCGAAGATTGCGTAGCGCGATTAGGGAATAAAGCTGTTTTCACGTTGTTAGACTTAAAAGACGGCTTCCACCAAAGTTAAGGTACATAAAGATCATACTAAATATTTCGCTTTTGCGACCCCAGACGGGCAATATGAGTATACACGTTTGCCATTCGGTTATTGCGAGGCACCGGCCGAATTCCAAAAACGACTTGTGTACATACTTCAACCGTTAATAAGAGAAGACAAGGTCATTGTCTTTAAGCATGAATCCACGAACATGATGATACGTTAATAATTGTGTCTGTAATTTGCGCGGAATGGTTTGTGTCAAAAAACGAAAGAGAGAGAAGGGTCCATGTCGAAATGTCATTGTTTATATCGATGATATTATGATAGCGACCGAAACGGTAGAAACAAATTTAGAAATACTGCGTGAAGTATTATTTCAATTGAAGCGTTATAATTTCGAATTAAATCTTAATAAATGTCAATTCCTTAAGAAAGAGATAGAATATTTAAGATATATTATATCAGCGAACAAAATCACTATAAGCACGCGACATGTTGAAGCCATAAAAAGCTTCCCGCAACCGAAAAATGTGCTCGAAGTCCAGCGATTTCTGGGATTAGCCAATTACTTTCGTAAATTCATTAAAGGTTATACTGATAAAGCCAAACCTTTGTATAATCTGTTAAAAAAGACAACACATTTCGATTTCGATATACACTGTGTACGGGCGCTAGAAACATTAAAAAATGAATTAACGACAAGCCAGATTCTAACTATTTACAATCCGCAGTCGGAGACTCAGTTACATACAGACGCAAGTGTACAAGGATTGGGAGCGATATTATTACAGAAACAAAAAGATAATAACTGCGGGCTCCTATCGCGTTTTTCAGTCAAGCGACAAACCAAGCGGAAAGAAATTATCACAGTTTCGAACTCGAAATGCTTGCGATAGTCCGCGCAATAGAACGATTTCACATCTATTTATATGGAATAAAGTTTACCGTTGTAACAGATTGCAACGCGTTAGTTTTCGCCGTGAACAAAGCAAATCTAAACCCCAGAATCGCTCGATGGACGTTAAGCCTTCAAAACTATAAGTTCAAAACGACACATAGACCAGGTCAACGTATGACACACGTCGACGCTCTCAGTCGCCAAATAGCGTATATAGAATCAATGCCACTCGAGAAAGAACTGGAGTGTAAACAACTTCAAGACTCACAATTGAAAAGCATTGCCCAACAATTAGAGTATTCGGACAATGAAAAATTCGAGTTGATAGAGGGATTACTTTATAAAAAAGCGACTGACCGTCCACCTTTTGTTGTACCGGACTCTATGATTAACAATATAGTAAGAGTTTACCACGATGATATGGGCCATTGCGGCTTTGAAAAAACGTTTCAAGGCATATTCGCCTCCTATTGGTTTCCGTCGATGCGGAAAAAAATATATGATCATATAGACAATTGTATCACTTGCCTCACGGCGAATGCTTCTCGTCATTCCCGTGAGGGAGAAATCCAAGATACCGGGCAATCAACCAAACCATTCGAGACCTTACACTTAGATCATTTTGGCCCCTTGCAACAGACGGAAGACGGCTTTAAACATGTTCTGGTTATAGTGGATTCATTCACGAGATTTACATGGCTTTATCCTACAAAATCTACATGCACGAAAGAAGTAATTAAACATCTGAAGTTGGTACTCAACATTTTTAGTAACCCGAGAGAAATAGTTTCGGATAGAGGAACGGCCTTCGCATCTAATGAATTTGCCCATTTTTTAGAATCTTTAAAAATTAAACACCGTCAAGTTGCTATTGCGGCCCCATGGGCTAACGGCCTAGTAGAAATAATAAATAGATTTCTTAAATCTACGCTTAAAAAGTTGGTTGATTCCCCGAATGATTGGAAAGAGAAATTAGATAAAGCACAGTATGTGATAAACAACACTAGTCATTCTGCGATTAAATGTACACCGAGTAAACTATTTTTAGGGTACGACAATAGGAATAACACAGACAAAAACCTCGTAGAATTAATCCAAAAAAATGCGGGTATAGAAGATAATTTAAATCGAGAATCGAATTATAAGATAGCGGAGGAAGCAACTAAGTCGCTTCGTGATTATAATAAAAAATATTACGATAACAGGCACGCAAAGCCAACTAAATATAAAACTAACGAGTACGTGATGATTAGGGACCTCCACGTAAAGCCGGGTCAAAGCGCCAAATTGAAACCGGGCTACAAGGGATCCTACGTCATAACTAAAGTACTAGACAAAAATAGGTACGTCGTACAGGACATACCAGGTTTTAACGTATCCTCCAGGCCCTATAATTCAATTCTCTCACCAGATAAACTAAAACCATGGATAAAACCATTGTAACAAACTAGTATAAGGACACCAAAGACTGAAAAATGTTCCGTACAAACACTTAATTAATAAGGCGATTAATATGTTCAAAAGATTGTATTAGATTAAGTCATTCGAGACGAATAACTCGTCAGGATGGTCGAGCTGTAAGATGGAAGTTACATTAAGGGCACCCGTTACCAAACATGCGGTTAGAACACCCGTTAAGTATAAGATCCGTTCGAGTTCGAGATATGTCGGGCCGACAAGAGCGAATAAGGTCACGCCACGAGGCATATCGATAGATATCGAACTAAGAAGGAGACGAGAAGTCGAGTATAAAACCGCGTAGCTCAGCGACCACGAAGAGAGAAATCTTTGAGAATCTTACAGTAGTGATCGAGATAGTTAAACGCGATTAGCAAACTCCGATCGGTTCAGACTGTATTCTCTTACCAATAAATAAAGTATATCTATTAAACTTACAATATACTATAAGGTTAGTGTATAGTATAGTAGAAACATATACTGTACCAGTATAGTACTGGTATATACCAGTAATATGTTCATTAAAATATGTAAGTTTGTAACTTCCCTATAATCTTACTGCATTGTTCGGTGCTGTAAGAGTTGTGTCAAGCTTCTTGCATTAAATTTTTTACCATATAAAGTATATAATATTTCATAAAACAAATCACATATTCATTTTGTATTTTATTATTATAAACAATATATTCATATATTTTATGTACATATTCATTGTTATAAGCAAAAAGATTTCAAGTGACAAGCTCTATATTATTATTATAAAAATATAAATAATATTTAACATTTTCATATTGTACATTACAGTTTCCATAATATAATTTAAATATGTGTTTATATATATGATATAGTGTATTCTTTACTTTCATTCTCAAAATGCAATTAAGTTTTTAAGATGTGCACAGAATAGATAAATATCTGAATCGCGATAACAGCATTAAGTACAACTAAATAATTTATAAGATACATAAATATATATTCATAGATAACAGTGGTATAAATATACTTGAAAATTTTACATGCATATTTCAATAATTTTCTTGTAATAACTAATTAATAATATTATCAATTTTTTGCAATGCATTAATGTTTGAATTAATTAGCTAGTTGTAATATTATTAAAACAAAAATATATGCGCAAATTAACTTAACAATATGAACTCGCCAATTGCAAGATTAAAATAATGCCATCAATAAACCAATACGAGCTGAATATAAAAGATCGATTTCAATATAAACAAAACGCGTTTCGGTTTATACAAATTATTTAGAAAAAAAATGTTAAAAATGTTAAAAAAAAAGGGAAGAAGGAAAAAGATTTTCTCTTAATTTATCATCTGCGTTATCTTGCATTTGGCTTATGTTGGTTTCTAGTTAGCATTACTTTGATCTTTTTCTTTGTAACATTCAAAACAATTATATTATATTTAAAAAAGTATAATAAATTGCCAAACAGATTTATAAGTTATATAAACATAAGGATATATAACAGATATAATATTTATGTATTTAGTATAATTTGCAAAGAAATAACTTAAATTATAGAGAAAAAATTTAATTTGTTTAAACTTGTTTCACAAAATATATACAAATAAAATTTAAAACATTTTTATTTTAACAAGTTGATAACTATTCTGAACAATAATAAGTAAATCTGTAAAACAATAATTTATATTAATGCATTTTTTTAGTTTCTATATATACATAAGTATCCATAAAATAGAAGAATTGTAGAAATGTTTTGTGTTGTGCTGAATATTTTATTTTAGTTTTCAATTTTGTTAAAATATTCATCATTCATAGATATACAGTGAAATCTCGAATTGGCGCACATCTTTTCCATATATGCTTGACTGCTCCCGAGTAGTGTGAGTGAGAGTAACGATCCAATCGCGCAGCAACGCATAGATCTGTGGGCGCAATGTCCCAATGTCTTCTCCCAGTGGTGTACTTGAAAGGGCATATTCATGCAAATCTCATACGGCCCTGAATTTGACGGAATTTAGGAGTAATCTTGTTATAGCATGCCAAAAGTACAGTGCGTTATTTCGAAAGGTTTCACTGTATAGGGAAATTTCATGATGTTATCAATTCTTGATTTTGCAAGCAAAAATCAGCATTAGAACGTATTTTCTTAAATATATGCTGCAATAATAATATATATTTAATATATGTATA